TATAAAATAGTTTCACAAGATGAGTGAGTGATTTGCGAATAATTTATAATTAAAGTTCCTTAACGATCGTTTTGATTTCTGGCTGATAAACGGCTTATTAACAATTCTAACCTACAATTCTAATGTATAATTAGACGAATTAATAAGTAACAAAATGATATTCTATTTCATTGATAGTTACTGAAATTTTCTTCATGTACACATGAGAAAAAAACTTTTGATATAAACTATGTCGCGAAAGTCTTGATACAAATTAAAATTTATATTTCTTTACTAAGAGAAACATTTTTCAAATAAAAACGTGAGTTTTGGAATCGCTATTTTCTAACCTTTTTAAATATATTTTTAGAAATTTTACAAGATATTTTGTTTTAGAGTTACAGATGTTTTTTCTGGCATACTTCAAAATATCACTTGTACAGAAAAAAAGGCTACTTTTCTAAGTTGTGTTATGTTAAATAGTTTTGCTAATAAATGTTTATGTGAGTACCAAATTGTAGTGCAAATAATTCTCTACAAAATAGTATGCTGTACGACCTTGTGTGGTCTGAGGCACTATAAGTGTTTTGTGAGAAGCTTCACTCCATGTAAAATGCGAAATAAACAAAAACAGTATATTGAAAAGTTTTTTGTAGAAGGTTTATGATTTCTTTTCAAAAATTGTAAAAATCGTACAATATATCATTTTTGAAGTGTGTCAGAAAAACATCTGTAACTATAAACATATCCAAAACAAAATATATCTTGTAAAATTCCTAAAGAAAAATTTGAAAAGATTAGAAAATGTTGATTTCAAAACTCACGTTTTGATTTGAAAACGGTTTCTCTGAATAAAGAAATATGAGTTTTAATTTGTACTAAGACTTTGCAATAATACAATAATAGATTCTAAAAGTATCGTGGCCTTTTTTTGGTTTTTTTTTTCTGTATATCTTGGAAAAATTATAGTCAATACGTCATATGGTACATGAAAACGTGAGTCAATGTTGAGAAAATTTATTACGTAGTGATAAGAGAAAGGAACACACCATAGAAGAAGAGAATTATACGCTTGAGCGAAAAAAGTTATTTTCTAATCTTAGAACTACGGTGTCGATAAACATAATAATAATAGTTAATTTAGTGTACTTTCAAAGAATCTGTTTTTTAAACATAATGTTGAATAATCATTATATTTACAATTTACTTTTTATTTTTCATTTGATTCATCTTATTAATTCGATAATACCTGATAATGGCAAAGAACCAGGTTTGATCCGTTTTTTTATCTTGTCAGTATTTGACTTTCTCTTAAACCTATCATCATTAAAAGCATTTTCTCGAAGAAACTAAACATTTAAAATGATTCTGTGTTTTATGAATAGCCTCATAATACGGGAGTTGGTGTTTCTGGCACGGGATTGGGCGGTTCATCGGGTGCATTTAATAATCCTCCGTCAACAGTTACTGACAGAACAATATCATTACAATCCATTCAGAGTGGTAATAATGATTCGACAGCAAGTATAACATGGAACTATCCAAATAGCGTTGTTTATGATTTTTTATCATTAACATTCAATGTTTATCAATTTGAAAATGGTTCATTCGATCAACCATCTCTATCGCAAACATATAGCTACAATTTAACGAATAGTAACACAACTGTAACCAGTATGTCCTTCGATGAACTAGTGCCTGGAAACTATATTATCGCTTGTGTAATTGCCTTACAATATTATCAAGTATACAATACAACAGCAGCAACGTCAACTCAATGTAGTGTTGGACAAACTACACTGAATTTAACTAAACTCCAACAGTTAAGTTTTACAGCATTTCCAACAGTATCCGTAACTCAAATTAGTGTTACTTTGTTTTGGCCAAACGAATTACCGTATGATAAGTTGACGATGAATGCAATGTTGAACAATAAGATCTCTTCAACTTATTCAACATCTTCAAATGATACCTATGAAATACGTACCTACTCGTTTTCGGGTTTAACACCACGCACTACGTATTCAGTATGTGCATGGGTCAACTATTCAAATAGTTATATAAACAAGGAGTTTCCAGGAGTTTTAGGAGGTTCACCAATGATTTGTGGCTCATATAGCACATACGCTCCATTAGGTAGTGTTAAACAAACACGTGGCAGTTTATTACTTACAATAACGATGATAGTGATCATCGCTATATTACTAAACTAACATTGTAGTTACATCGAGAATAATAAAGATTTTATTTTTTCTTCTATGGTACCGAATGTTTGAATCAAAAACAAAATAAGAAACACTCACTATCGATTGACTGATAAAATCGTATCTGATATTTGTCGAGTTGTTTCTTGTAAATATGTCCTTGAATAAATGCTTGTAATTATAATAGAATAGATAAAAGGTTTGTTTTGTTGTTAAACTGAGCGTTAAAAAAACAAAAAGTTATATTTTTTATGACTAAATATTCAATTTTTTTATTACATTTTTTTATATGTTGTATGTTAAAAAAGATCTATATATTTATATATTTTAATTTGTAATATTTAGGTACAAAAATAACTATAGATGAATTAGTTAAAATATTTGAATTTTGTTTTAATTAAAAACGATTGTTTTTTACTTGTCAGAGCAAGCTGTTATTTAGCGATAAATGGGTTACATTTTTGGAATGTAAATTAGCTTTATTTGACATTTTTGTTTTGATGAAGAAATTTGATCTTATTGAGATGGAGGACTTCATTGCTACATTATATATTCTTATTTTTCCATCCATATGCTATGTAGAAAGGAGGTAAGTAATTATCAATTTGTCGCGTCTTTCAAGCTTAATATAATAATAATATGGAAATATAATATTTGATGTTTATTACTACCAAGGTCTGAGAGAGACAAAGAGAGAAAAAAAAAAGGAGAGAAAAAAAATATAAGACTGTTAATTGATTTTATCAGTTAGATACAATAGAATAAGTAGCCAAATATACTGGCATCATAAAAAAATAAATATGAATGTCTGCTTATATTTGTCCGCATAGAGGGAGAGAGATCGTAATTTATTTTCTTATCTCGTGTAGTGTATATAGTGTATTACATCAATTTGGTTAATTACGAGAAAAATACATGTTTTTTTGGTGAACAGGCATAAGTCCACTTTGAAAATTATAAAATGAAGTATTACACAAAACGACATGATGATATTTCACCTGCTTCTCAATATGCAATGATAAAATTGGTAAATAAAGCAGGGAGATTAGATCCTAAGAATCGAATTGTACAACCAGCTACTAATGAACAACGTCGATTACCACCGGCACATCATCATCATAAGTTTGAACATATACACACCGATAATGGAATTAAATTATTACCATCTTCTCATCATCGAGATCAAGAATATGTGGATGAATCTTCCGAATTGAATTCTATGTCTATCAAATATAAACACATTATGAATAAGGTAAAAAATAATGTTGTTAAAAGCTATTAGACTGATGTAAAAAGAAGACCTTTTTGACCTACATTCAGGCAGATAATTTTTGTCAGCGTCTTCTTCTTGTGACAGAGAATTTTGAATCATTTGTTTAAACTATTATTAGTAAAGCATCGTTGATAAAGACAAAATATGATAATTTCTACTCAAACTATTTATATAGTGTCGACTCACAAAACATTCGATTATGAGTCTCATTTAAAAGTGGATTAAGACATCTAGAAATGTTTATTATATGCTTTAGAATATTTTTGAATGGTAGAAGTGATTTATACCGTATTTCATTCTTAAAAAATAATCAGAAGAAGTTAAATGTAGCCGAATGAAAAAATAAATAAGTTTGAAATACTAAATATATTTGAAAAAAATCTAATTTTGATTAATTCTGCTTATTTTTCATACAAATGATCTTAAAAGGTTTAGAATGTAACAGAAAATGCGGTACAAATGACGTACGTTGACAGTGATGAACAAAAATACTAAATGCCCGATTTGTTTTCTCATGATATCTAAAGTATCAAAGATAATTCTAAAAATGTAAGAAATGAAAATAATTTAAAATATTTTCGTGATTTCAAATGTCTTTCGTTTATATTTTTAAAAGTGTTAACAAAATATTCTCATTAGTTCATGTACTTTCTGCAATAGTAAGATATTCATAATGTAGAACAAGAGTGAAAATATAGTACATGATAGATTGGATTAATACTACTTTTATACATTTAATTTATCTTTTCTCACTATGACTGTTAGATTTTTAGACTATAAAATTGTTCAAAATTTATCTAGATTTTTAAAATGTATCGTCAACATTTATGTGAATATTTTACGTTTGATTATTTTGATATTTATCTATATAAACTGAACATCGTCAAGGTTATTTTGTATTATGCGTCAGTAAATAATAAAAGTAAAAGAGTGTGATGTATGAAATTGATAATTTCATGTTGTGAAAGAAGGATAAACCATAGACAATGTGTATGTGTCTTTTTTTTTCTCTATATAATATTATTATTATTATTATTATTATTATTATATTTTTGTTCTATTTTTATGTACGAACTATCAGAGACAGAATGATAAATGTATTGGAAAATGACGATAATATATCCATAGATGATTGCTATGGATCAAAAGAAGCAAGAATTTCTATTTTGTAATGACGTGTTTTCACAAAAACATCTGTATATTTTCCTTATTTCTTTTGTTCTTTTCGAAAAAACCTATTATGGTATCAGACATGTGCTTTTTTTCGCTACATTTACAAACAGACATGAGAATATCATGTCATCTCACTCTCTCATTGGTTGAGCAACGATATCTATCTGTTTACTATCATTGATCAACATAATACAATATTCTAACTAAAATCAATATTGACTAATCAAAAGGAATGATGTTGTTGTTGTTGTTGTCATTACTATAGTTGTTTTATCAAAAAAGAAGATAAATGATAGTTTTTCATGTATTCCTGTACTATTGACGTCGTTATCATCGTCATCGTCAGGTATATTATTAAGATCGATCTAGCTGTAAAGAATTCTATTCATTTATTATTTCTTTTTATTAGACTACATTTATCTCATCTTTGTTAAACAATGTTTACAAAATTTTTATAGTTAGTTATAGTGTTAATTATTCATTTGAGTGTATTAGAAGAATATATAAACATATGAAAAACAAAAGGTTTTAAGTTTCTTTATATTTCTCTATTATTTAGCATAGATGATTCAATAACCAGTTCAAACATCATAGAAGATGTACTTGATTTTTTGCTAATTTAATATGCACCTTTGAGGAATATTCTATATAAATAAATGAATACACATATGTTTAAGAAAAATATAAGAAACAGACAGATATAGCAGCAATCTATTTGATATATTATCAGAAAATAGTCTTGAGACATGTGACAGAAAAACAAATACAAAATATTATACAGAAATAGAATGTTGATAGTCTTCTTCTATTAGTTTAATTGGTATTAAAGTTATATGGTATATTGGGGTGAAAGATTGAAGATCTTAACTAAGAAATAATCTAAATAAAGAAATCATTTAGATGACAAAAAATTTTAGAATTTTTTTTAACATAAAAAAAAGTGACAGAATCATGGTTGATTTTGTCATCTTTTCAAAAACACATGGGTATTTGCTTATTTTATGATTATTCTTTTATCAAGTACTACACTACATCATCGTAAAATTTAGTTACTACAAATATTATTTCTGTTAATGGGAAATAACTTTAAGAATAAAATGAATGACTAATGCTGTAGACTTTAAAATTAATGATTTTATTATTTATCATCAATTTAAAGTCTGCTACATTAGTCATTCATTTTATTAGTTATCCACAGCTTGTTAGATTTTATTTTTATACTATTTTTTTCCAATCATCAGTAAAATAATTACATGTTCATAGAAAAAAGTATTGATATTTGTTTATTTTATATTATTCTTTTATCAAATTAATAAGTACGTGTATAAATTATTATTGATTTCTAATTATAAATATATGAAAATATGATATACTCATTGGAATTCGATATCAAAAAAAAAATTGTTAACACTGATCTTGTTTATATTTTTCTGACTCTCACTAAATTGATTAGATCATCAAAATATCATCAAGATATTTCTTTTTTTCCCAGCATCGAAACATAGTAATGACAAGAACAAAAGGACTAAAGGGCAGATGTTTAAGATTTAAGTCAGATATTCAGGTAAAAATAATGTACAGAAGATAACAAAAACATTACTAATTAATTTTTATTTCTTACTCTTTTTATTATTTCTAGCATACGTCATTACTATGGACTTATGTTTATAACCTCAGATTTGTCTTTGTTCTGTCAGCCGTATTACTGTTAATCATTTATTGGTTTTATCGTCGTAAACGTCAGTCACAAAAACAAGATGAAAAAGAGGACAATCGAAGACCATCATCACTGACCTTATTCGATGATAGACAATATCCATCTGATATTCTCTCTCCACATCCATCTGAACATCGTCATTATAATGTACTAGCAACAATAACAGAAGAAAATCTTTCAACAACAGTGACTCCAACAACGTTATCATCAAATTTCAATGATATTATCAAACCAGCATCATCACCTATAGCAGACGGTAAGTTAATAAATGATTGACTAATTTATACATTGTAAAGTCTATTTAAAATTATTGTTTTATAATAATCCAAATATTTCTAATGATTATCATGGAAGTATATATAGGAAAAAATAAAGAGTTTTTTTTTTTTTTTTGTCCACAACATCGTTCTAGACAGTTCAAAATATGAAGGAGTTGAATATTGACCTCGGTAAATATAGTAAACACTTGTCAATGTAAACTTTATATTTATGACCTAGTTTTTTGTTGATCTTACGCATGAATTAGAAGAGGATGACAATAAAACTTATCGAGATGTCATTATTCGTACTACCAACGCGCTTGTTTTCTTCTTTTTGTATAAAGAATATTTTCTTATCAAATATTTTTATGATTAATGATCTAATGATAATGTTATTATCCTATGATGAATTAATTTCAATCAAAAAGAACAAATTTTTATCTTTAGAAATTAATTCAAAATTTGAATTAATTAATAGTAATACACCATCACAATTACGTCAACGAAAATTATTGAATGATAATATAATAAACACAGACTACGTACAAATATCAGCGGATAAATTAAAAATTAAAGAAAATAATAATAAATTAGAAGAAAAAGTTGAAAATAATGTACCGTTAACAATAATTGAAACTCGTCAACAACTAAAACAACCTTCTACTAGAAGAAGACTTTCTCAGTTTGAGGATGCATCAGCAAAACCAGTCATTGAACCAGATAATAGTCCACCAGTTATTGTTAGTAAGTTATTTTTAATTATTATTAAATGTTAAAATATAAAATATTTTTTTATCTTTTCAGGAAAATCTAGTATTCCTCATTCGAATGTTATCAAAGACGATTATCATACATTGGAAGAATTAAATAATGCTGTTAAACAAGTAGGTTTAACCAAAAGTCAGTTAATATTTGGTGAGTAATATATTGTTTATCTTTTTTTTTACTCTTTGTCGAAATTTTTTTTACTTTTTATTTTAAACTAGGAATTGATTATACAATAAGCAATTTAGAAACTGGCAAAAATTCATTCAATGGTCTGTCTTTGCATCATATTCAAAAAGGACTTTTAAATCCCTATCAGAGCGTAAGATTAAGTTAAAACATTAAATGTTCGTCTACAAAAAAATTATATCAAATGTTATATTTTATACTACGAACTTTTCTATTATTATGTTGTTAGGTAATTACAATAGTTGGTCGAACATTAGAAAAATTTGATTCAGATAAACTCATTCCAGCATTTGGCTTTGGTGATAAAACAACGCTAGATCGAAAAATATTTCCTTTACATGTAAGATTAATTAAGACTATTTTTACAATAATATTCATTATTTATTAGTCTATATATTTTTCTTCATAGACTGATGGTAGCTATTGTAAAGGATTTAGAGGAGTTTTAGAAGCTTATAATAAAATTACGCCAAAAGTGAGGATGAGTGGACCAACAAATTTTGCTCCATTAATTAAAGAAGCAATTAAAATTGTACAAAAATCAAAACAGGTAAAAAAAAAATAAAACAAAAAAAAAAAAATATAATTTTTTAATTAAAATTAAACTTTAAAATTTAGTACCATATATTGGTTATTGTTGCCGACGGTCAAGTAACAAATGAACGTCAAACAAAAGATGCAATTGTTGAAGCTTCATCTTATCCATTGTCAATCGTTATGATTGGTGTTGGTGATGGACCATGGGATATGATGAAAGAATTTGATGATTCATTACCAACAAGACAATTTGATAATTTTCAATTTGTTAATTACAATGATATCATACAAGTATCAGAAAACAATTTAGACTCGGGTTTTGCATTACATGCACTTATGGAAATTCCATCACAATATGAAGCTATAAAAAAGTTAGGTCTACTTTCATCATCAGAATAAAATTTGTAGAATGAATTATGCTGTTTTATCGACGGAAAAGAAAAAAAAAAAAAGAATAACAAAACACGAGAGATATGTACTGTTAACAATAATAAATAAAATTAAAGAGTCATGGTTTATCAGAGAAGTGCTCTGTTAAATACTGATACTATGTGCATATTTTTCCTTACTCATCTACATTGATTAATTAATAGATAAAAATAGTCGTACTAATTAGTAACAGAATTTCTGAGAACCAGTGAAATGTGTCAAGCCTTTTTTTTCAAAGTTTTTGCTTAGTGTTGAAAATTTACAATTAACTGTCAGATTCGTCTACACTAACCATTGAAAGCCTATGGACACTACCCAAAACAAGAAATTGTAGAGAATTTCTAGAATTTCACATTTTTTGGAGAAGTTGAGAAAACAATTCATCATAAATTGATGAACTATCCGAGAAGTTTTCAATAATGTTTCATTCATCGTTCTATTCTGATGTATAATTATGTTCGAGTGTATAGTTCAATACAAGATAAAAATTGTTCCAAATACAGTTTCAGAGTGATTCTCGAAAGATCTTGATAATTTTGAATAAATTTTAACCGAACAGTCGATTCTCAATATTTACGAATAATCAAGCAGTTATTTTTCAAAATCAAAATAACCATTTTTTCATCATTTTTTTTTTATTAGTTCCAACCAGTTGCTAGGTATGAAAGTCTTTAAAGGATTAATCAATCATTTATATATATATATATATAGGCTGGGCTAGAAGTCCTGAAATACTCACTTTTCTATTAAAGTTTTATTCATATTGATTTGCGTTTAAAAATTTAATATTTAGCTCAAAAGATAGAAAATTTAGTTTTCTAGAAAACTGTTGATGTTGTTTTTGAAATTATTTTTGAAATTTCAGAAGAATATTCATCATTTTAAAATATTCTAATTTTGTAAACGGCATAGAATAAACTTAACTTCTTTTGCAAAGTGTGTTGTTGATCTCTAAATTCAATTTTCAGATAACTGTTTTAACGTCAAAAAAATGTCGAATAATTTTATGCTGTATAATCTGACACTATTTATGTTAAATTATTATTCTGTTTTGTGAGAAAGAAAGTCCTAATTGGCTGACTTACGTAGAAAGTTTATATTATCGGTATTTTGCTCTCAAACTCAAAATTTAAAGCCACGTATTTTATACCAGAAGATGCAAAATTTCTCACTTTACAAGATCACATACACCGGAAAATAAAATTATAAATTTACATTTAAATAATATTACAAACGGCTAAAGATGAATTCTTCTAGACTTTTAAAAAACTTTCATGAAAAACCCTTTCAAGAGCCACTTTGACTTAGAAGGATTTTGCTTTGCTACATGAAGTATAAAACTTTGTACAGAATTTCGTGTTGAACTTAACGGTCTATTGTGTTTTGTTTATAAATAAATTTTTTTCAGTTAGATACGCTTAGTTTATTTCTATATCAACGATTCAAAATTAATTTTAAAACAAAATCGACAATTTTCTAGAGAATTAAATTTTCTATCTTTTGAGCTAAATAGTCAATTTTTAAACACAAATAAATATGGATAAAAAAGTTTTAATAGAAAAGAGATGTTTCTGACCCACTCTATATGAGCAAGATAATGTCTGCATAGTAACTACAAAAGAAACTAAATCCATTGATCTCAAGATTTAAAACGATAAAATATCTCAATACTTGTATCTTTATCATCAAATATTTCCATTTATTGCTCAACTTTTTCTCATTAAACACCAAACTTGAACATTCTCGATATATCTCTCTACAATGAATAAATCTAAAATTCAAATAATATTATCGATCTTTTGTATTTAGTCAAACATATATTTACAGATGATTGATATTAATAAAAAAATGTCAAAAAGAAAAACAAGAACCCATTGAACTTTTTTTTATTTAACATATAACCAGATGAATCTGACCTCTCACTTTATATAGTTATTATTTAACAGTAAATATGTTTTTAATTGTTTTTATATATCTTTTATAGAGTAGAATATGGTCGGGGCATAGATTATCTAATTACAAAATCAAATTTTGTCTTCCAAATAAAATCTTGACTATTTCACAACAGGTTCAATTATGTGTAGAAAATTGAATGGGCATATAAACTTGTGAACGAACAATAACACACATAAATTGTATTTTCTCTTCTTCTTTTATTGTTTGAATAAGATGCGAGAAATCCTACATCCTCCATATATGCAACTGATTTATCAAGTATCCGATTAGAACCATCACTTTTTCTTTTCTTTTTTTTTTCCATAAAGCTTTTGGAAGATGCGCTATTTCTTTCTCATTCTTAGCTTTTCGACAATCTACTTTTGTTCATTTCTTATTTTTGCTCAATTTTGGTGATGATGATGATGACTTTTATGTTATTGTCTCTATTTTTCTTTTACTGTAGAATGTATAATAGAGAGAGAGGGAAGGGAATCTCCCATTCTATCCATCGTCCCATAGGATACATCAAGCAATACTTGATCAGATCATTTCTTCCAATTTATTATTAGTTTTTCTTTTTTTGCACATTTCTCTCTTTCGAATAGAAAAAAAAAAAAAAAAGAAAAATAATAATAATAATAAAATCAGTTTCAGAATTGCAACTGGTATTTTAAAAATTTTTCTTCATAGAAATATGACACTATATAGTTCTTCATTCATTCATATTCTTTTGTAACAGTGACGAATGTCAATCAATATCATAATATAGTTTTTTTTCTTTATTTATTTATTTAAACCTTGGGTAAGATTCGATCATATTTCAATATCAAAAAATTGTTTACATAAAAAAGAAAAATAGAACGTTTATTTACCTTATATGATGAGTTCATCTTGGTAGATAGTGGAAAATAAAAATAATTTTAATATGAGAAACTGTACTATTAATAGACTATGCAATGAATTTAATCAAAAAATATACAAGATGTTTTTTTTAGAAAGAAATTGATATTCTGTATTTTTCTCATTATTAGTACAGTACATTTTGTTAGAAAATTGAATGGTCTCATTTATTCAAAAATTTATCTAATTTTAAACAGATTAAATTTTGATAAGTCGATGATAGTATAAACCTAACAAATAGAGTAGATCAGGATCGTACATTCACACATTATTTTTAACAGATTATTTTCAAGTGATGAATGACAGTACTCTTAGAATACGATCTTTGATCTCTAATATCCTACATTTTTTTGTGAAAAGAAAAGCAGTTGTTGTTTATATTATGTGTGCGAGTAAGTTATAAAATTTGATATGTATGAAATCAAATGTGCAAATGTACATGTGGTGCTTCATACACACAGTTAGAAAAATATTGAATTGAAAATATTTGACAAGAGTTTGTGTTATTATTGACATATGGTGAAAAGAATAGGATACATGTAGACAGAAAAATTATCATCGAATCACATTTATGAAATAATTTAGCTTGATTTTTCGGGAACAATTAGAATTTCGACTATTTATAAGAGTTTGTTTCCTCTTTATTCATGTTACGCGTTTATCATTCATCATTCCTTATTTTATATTTCATTTACAATTTTTTCTCAGCTATTTCAGTAAGATGATCATGTACCATGACAATTTTGAGCTATTTGATAGGTTACATTACACACTAGCATAGATTATTTTATTATAATGGCTGATCAAATATCTTTCCTCTAGTCAAAGAAATGTACACATGATTAATCAATGTTTCAACAAATTTATCTCAAGAAACCATCGTTCTGTTGTTCAGAAATCAAACAGATCAGAATATGTTGACTGTAGGAGTATCATAATTGAAGATTCAGAGATGTATTATCCGTTTTCTATATACCCTCAAAGTTATCAGAAAATAATTGCATTTTATCTATGAGATAATTGATCTGATGAACATGCGCAGAAAGTTTAAAATACATTAACAGTAGCAGCTGTTAGTCAAATGTTTCGAATTAGTCATCAATTTTATTATCTTCTAAAGAACATAGTTCATTGCCAGTAAGAAACGTCAAACAAAGACAATCAGAAGTGTAGCTTATGAAGTGTCAAAATTACGGACTTGTTCTTTTTTTTTGATGACCGTGAACATCATCCGCCTTACGAATTATTTAACAAAAAAAATAAGTTTTTATTATTTGCGGCTATAATGTAGAATATACTCACGATGTTCAAGATTTATTTTTTCATTCATCAATTTATCTTCTTCATATAACTAGAACTAGTAAATATTGTATAAATAATTTGAAGACCATTTTCATTATGAAATGTACCTTCCTGTTAACTTGATAAACAGATTTGAATTTTGTATGTTTTTATGACAAGTAAATCAAGATGTTTTATATAGTTTGACGAAGTCACGTCAGCCTATATCATAACAGTAGTTGTAATAAAACTAAATAATGTTTTTGCCTGCAGCTGGCAAATGTATATAGTAGCATAAAAGAGATAAATAATTAAACTAATAATTAATCAACATAATGTGTTTTCTATTTCCTAGATAGTGACATGACATAATATTTAATCTAATTCTATTATTGTTTTTTGTTGCAACAGACAAAAAAGCATATGAAAGAAAGAAAGTGATAGGAATGATTGTTCATCACTTTTCAAATTATTCACATCAATGAACGTAGAGATATTTATCTAAGTTAAAATCTTTCATATCAGTCAAAACTGCTTTTATTTTTTTACTTGAAACGTTATTTAAAACTTAATACATGGTATGTATGTGTGTGTGTACTTATGATCGTTGTGTTTGTTGTCTTCTTTTTAAGAGTTTAGAAATATCTAGGTTAATGAGTAGAAATCACCTTGATAAATATCGATTCACTGAGAAATGATTAATGATGATGCGTCCATACGCCTGTTATTGAGAGATAAAGAAAATATTAAAAATGTGTGCCATAGAATACCAAAATAAATATGACGAAGGAAAAGATGGAATAAAAATAATACTTGGTCATAAACAAGTGACATTTCTTCATTCCGTATGT